TAAGATCAATGCTCATAATGTCATATCTGCAATGCTGTCAGGCACAAAAGGCTTTTATATGATTCAAATTGCATATGAAMAATAGTCTTTGCTCTGTTTCTTTCATCTTGTAATGTACCACTGGATAGTGATTTCCCTGACACTGGATATAAGGGCTTTCTGTGTAATCGTTTATGGCCTGGTACAATGAAAGCACTGAAGAAAATGTATTGCTTTGATCACAAAAGGAGACTTAAAAGGTATTGCCCCCATAAAATGCTACCCATGGCCCAAATTACCAACTCTTAGATTTTTTGAAGCAAACTCATCACTCCTGTGAAAAGCAGTGGCTGCATCTGTACAGGAACTCTGTACAGTCTCTTCCCCTGCAGGATTCCCAGAGTCCATGAGGATGCCTTTTACAGAGGAGGTGCTGCTCGTTGTTTGTGTAGTCATTCAAATACTTATCGTCTTTTATTCTCCTATGTTGTGTCCTATAGCACAGTTCCAGGTGCTTTGCTTGAATCTATTTGTCTTTTGTATGTTTTTGCTCATACTWTCTGCAATGCTTATATTGTCTACCATGTGATGGGCTCATGTGGTGGATTCTTTTTCTCCAACGTAGAGGTATTTTAATATGGTAACTTGAAAAGATCAATTAATGTCCTGTCTTTTTAAAAGGTTTTTCCTACCTATTTAATTAAATAATTAATTAAATTAACCTTGTTAATTACAAGCTCTGCAAAATCCAAGAATTTAAAGTTCAAAATGAGTCAGTTTTGACTGAGTCCTGTGACAAAACTACTTAAAAGAAAGAGAGGGAAAAGACACACTGTGCAAACAGAAGCATTTGTTGGGAGCAGGAACTTAATTTCCAATTCACACAATAAGTTCCCTAACCACTACACTATGGAGACAAGCACAGTGTCTACAACACACACCTTTTATGTTTCATCTTTCATCCTGACTCAAAAATCACTGAAGCTCACACCATGACTAAGGGTTACCCAAACCAACCAGGCTCTCTTCAGAGAGTTTGCAAACGTATGTAAACCTGCACAAGATGCAAGGCAGCAGAGAGTTAGATCCTGACTTCTAAAACTAACTTAGCTTGTCAGAATAGGAAAAAAAAAMCATAAAAACACCAACGCCCTTACCTGAGAAGATTAAAAGACTCATGAAAATGTTTTGGAAAAGGGATAAAGCAGGTCCTCACAAGAAACTTGAAGTAGTAGGTCTTATGGTGCTATGGGTCAGTCAAACACTGTATGTGATGTGAGCAAGGTCTTTAGTGTTTGAAACAAGCTTCAGAAGAAACCTRGCTTTGTTCATGATAGGGGCATTCTCAATCCCACTCTAGCTGTCTCCTTTTACTGCTCCTCTGACCCAAGTACTTCACTGCCTTTGCTTTTAAAATTGAACAAAGAAAATGACCAAAGATAAAAGAAAAAAAAAAAAAAACTTATGTTGTATGATTTCAATTTTCTGATATGTTTGGAACTAATACGCTCAGATGTATGAAGAAAGGGTTTGATAATCTGATTTTGGAAGATTTTTAACTAAGTGCATCAAGGTTTTTTCCTGAAAAAATTCTTTATCAGTTGGAAATGAAGAAGGTAGATCTGCTGGGATTCTCATCCATGTACAATTTCACATGACTTGCATACAAACAATACGAGACAAAGGCAGAAAACCAGCAGCTATGTACTGTGGGAGACGGTATATCTGCTTGTTCACTTTCTCCAGGCACAGAGGCATTTCATTTTGATATAGCTGACAGGTTCTTGTACACTTGTCTGTTTTCTCAGTATGTTTAGCAATACTTGGTATCTCTGCATTTTTAACAGAGCAGCCAAAAAATTTGGCTTTTTTAGCCTGAAGAAATTCTTCAGGTTTTTCAATACTGTAAGCTTCACTTTTATTTATTTACTCACATAATCACTTTTAATTGGTAACTCTTACTTTAACGTTCCTTGATAATCCTGATATAAGTGATACTTGTACCCCTGGTGAACTATATGAAAAAATAAAATTGAGGCAATTCCCAGGGCAAAGGCATAAAATTAAATCAAAAACAATGCTAACAATTTAAGTGAAATACTAGATTAAAATATTCTAAAGACTTGATATTAATTACAAAGCATCTAACATCCTTACTACGTTGATAGCCCCAAAAATGAGTCAAATAAGATTATATGATGATGCATGTTATGAAATGATAGAAGATGCTGAAACCTGTCAACACTTTCCATTTAATCAGACTAAATCCACTGAGAATTTCACTCAGAGCTTGAATAAAAATATTTATGATGGAGAAAGATTGTGAAGAGTTGGCTCTATGTTTGAGAGGATGGACAGGAAACAAGAAGAGAACTGGAAATGAAGACTCCAGATTCCAAGTTAAAGTTTCTTCTGTTAAAGTCAGCATGGGCATGGGTTTATATCCCTGACTTTTTTTGCTCAAGTTCAGTTAAAATATTTTTGTTTACATATATATATATTAAACCAAGTAAAAGAAACTATTTTCACATTTTTGAGGTGTGATTAGCATAACTGAGGCAAGTCTATAAAAGAATGTATGTAAAAAAGTATCAAATTGTAATTAAAGTTCTGAGGCCTCTATCTACATGTCAGCAAAATACTCAAGCATAATTAAAACCAAGGAAGAGTYTCATTTTTCCTTTGCAAAACCATGACTCACTGTGAAAGAACATTTCATTTGTCCAATTAATTACTGGTCATTCACACTGTCATGAAATCTTAAAGCTGGCACAAAGGRTTTGAAATTGAGTTTGGCTGGATGAGTTAACAATTAAATGAGCCTTTTAGAAGCAGTTAGAGCAACCAAGCCTGTGGAAAACAGAGAGGAAACCTGAATCTGGGAGCAGCATCGCCTGTTGTAATCCAGAGCCGCAGGCTTAGAGACAGAGTGGGCTGTGGGTAGCAAGAATGAGACAAATATTATCACAGAGAGCATATGCAAAGAGGATGTTTATTAAAATTCAATAAAAATAAACAGATGAAGACAGTATCTGCTGGAAGGCAKGATGATGACTTGGAAGAGAGGGAGAAGAAAGATGGCACCATCTGGCACATATTCAGTTTTTGCTGAATAGTAATAGCAGTCTCAGGGTTTTCTGCCATTATGCTTCAATCCTTCCCTCCCTTGATGTAGCCACAACCATCTTCTATTGAAACCTGATCAGAAACACAAAGGAAATGAACCTTCCTATATTCCTAGCACAGAGGAAGATTCTGCATTTAGGTCCTGCTGCCACCTGCTTATCTGAACATGCAAAGCAAGTCCTCCATGAGAAGCCAGGCTCTACATATTTTTCAGATAATAAGATTTTCTTCAGTTACTGAGCTGTTCAGAGGGAATTCAAAATGAGAGCAGATGAGACACTGAGCAGTCTCAAGTCAGGAGGATACTCCCCACAAGCCCATAATCCCTAAAACTGATGAATGCTGCTCCAGGTTACAGGCAATAACATGCATCATTTGCTACAGCATCAAGATTCTGATTTCAAAAAAAGAAAGAAACAAAACCAGAAATACAAATGTTTCTTCAAAAAAGAACTATGTATCCATTACTTTTGACACTCAGAACATACTCAGGCAGTGGACTCCCTCTGTGTACTATGCTCTAGGTTATTGTAGTTCAGTCTAATCTGCCTCTCCTCCCCCTACAGCAGAAGAACTTTAAAGGGAGGCATACAACGTAAAAATACAGCAATTTCCTCTTTTTGGATGAAAATTCTTAAAGTCAGATACTRCAACAAATCCAGGCCACCATCAATATATGAATAAACCCTTTCAACAGTGGTTCCTCTAACAGGAAGCCTCATGCTTCCTGCARTGCTGACAAAGACTGTAAGAAACAGCTACCAGGTAAAGCTGGACAAAAAACCCAAACTGATGAAAGTCTTTTCAGCTAGAAAATAAAATTGGTCTAAATGTTGCACAAGATGACCAGAGGCCTCAAAGTAAGTTTCTTTAAGCARCTGAATAGAAAACCTTTCTTAGTCTATCTCATGGAAAAAAAAGCTGTAGCTCAACATTCTGTGAACAGTGATTAACAGAGAAAATCAGAGAAGAGCAGCTGCGTGATCTATTTGCTCACTTTTTTGGTCAACTAACAAATCACATTACTTATCTAAATGATTAATAAAAACTGATACGTCTTTGATTATAGTCTTTTATAAAATAATACACAAATTTTAATTTTTTTTGCCATTAGCTGGTTTGTGAATGGTATTCCCAGAGAAAGATTTTTTTTAAGCTGGAAGAGGAATCAAACAAAGCATTCCCCTGGCATTTGCTAAAGGAGAAACAGTTGTTTATTGGTACCTCAAGCTCCATACAAGTGAGATGCTTTTTGACTTTAATTATTCAGATGCCTTGATTTGATTGTACCTTCCTAGTAAAGCTGTAGTTTCAGGTGTGCACATASATGACCAAGATTAGGATAGGTCTTCTGAGAGTTGAACTTGCTAGAGAAGTTTAAAAAAGTGGATTTCTAAAAGCCACACTGCAGGCTCAGCTGTTCCCTTCCGTGACCTGGGCAGTAGGCTTACTCTCATCAGTCACCTGAAATACAGGCATGTCTTAGCCTCTGGCACAAGCTCCTCCCTCCAGTCAAAAGGTGAAAATAGTCACCTCCAGGTAGCAATTCAACATCTCCCTTCTGAAAGAGGGACCCTGTAAATGCTGCTCCTTGCATTAGAGACAGAGTCCAGACAACAGAATAATGATCTAAACTGGAGGGAATGGACACCCCCCTAAAGCCCCCAGACCAGAGCACTTCAAAAGCTCTGTTCTGCTACCCTGGTGCTCACCCAGGAGGTGAGCTCCTCCAGAAGCCATGTCCCAACTGCAGTGACAGCCAAGTAAATGCTTGATCTTAGATACTTGTCAAGTTCTGTGCCAGTCTTTACTAGCATTATACTAGCATTAATGACAGACAACACAAATTTCACAGGAAAGAGTGGCTTGTGATTTACTGGGGCCATCCTACTTACTGTTATCACATGGTTGATTGCTGGGAAGGGGCTGCCCTTGGAGGAAGCTTCAGTAGGACCAGCATCAAAGGTAGCAGGCTCTGAAACAAAGCTTGCCTTAAAAAGAAAAAAAAAAACAAAAAAAACCCAGAAACATATTTTTATTCTGAAAGCTTGTTAAGAAGGACAATTCCCTCCCTTCTTATTAAGTTAGTATACAAACACCTGGCCCTATTGTTGCATGTGTTGTACTACAAAAGCAAATGAAATTGCAATTCCTGCTGTTTCCCATTTTTGGTGAATTTTATATTTGAACTGCTGAAATTATCAGCTCAAGAATAAGAAGTAACAACACATAGTGTCAAGAGAAAAATGCTTGTTATTTGTGCATAGATTAGTCCTGTGGTAAAAACATTAGGATTTCTATAGCAAAACTGATTGCATTAATTCCTTCTTATCACACACACACACACAAAAATCAGAGATTTGTTTTCAATATTCTTTAAACAGATGAATGATTCTGCCATCTTGTGGGAGATGGAGAAATCCTAACTATTTTTACAACAACAGCAGGGCAGAACATCATGGAACAGAAATTTCCTCTATTTTTCATTTGTTTCACTATTGATTAAGTGAGCAGACATTAACAGCTAGCATATTCCAAACAACACCCAAAATAAGAAATTAATTATAGCCTCATGGAGGAATCTGAGCAATGGGGTTGATTTTTAAGATACTAACTTGACCAGAAACTCTGYTYGGAAGGTAAAGGTGCAGCAATTAAAACCCTGATTTTTTTYCCCCTGTGATCTGATAATGTGAAATATGTAGACAGTTATTTACATTCTCTTACCTTTGTTAAAATACCATTCATGAAAGAAAAATGTAAAATTATACACACATATTTTTATGTATAATAATCTTGTAAGAAATGTTAAACTAAACAATATTAAACAATATGTATATATTATGGAACATCACCCTCTATTAATAATTCCATAGCATAGTTTTACAAAATTAGYAGATTAATTTATCGTTAAATAGTCTTTGGCTGATACAGGTTGTATCATTATTCCTGACAAATTCACAGACATACAATATTGCTTGCTCTATTCCACCTTAATTCAACATGGAACATACTGGAGTAAAAACAATTAATCTAACCAAGTACAAATGACAGTTTAAGATAAAAAGAGCTGAAAAAAATGTCGACCAGTTTCACCTCAAAGTAATTTTGTAGAGGCTCTCTTCCTGCTCCACCTTTCTCAGCAGGTAGAAACCAAACAGTGCATCAAAAGCATATGTCACAAAACTGTATCTGACTGGCTTTTTTCCCATTTTTCTTGGGAAACTCTGAAGCTCAAGAGGGTGGCTTCTGCTAGGAAAGATGAGGCTTGAGGTGGAGCAGCCCGAGAGGCGTCTATCCCWTGGCACCTGGCACTCCAAGCCTCCAGCAGGGGAGTTATTTTGAGCTGTTCTCTTCCCACCAAAAATTACCTTGGGGAAACAAGCTCATCTAGTTTATATTTCTTTGTTACAACTGCAGTGAACTCACCTAGTAAATMTAATACCATGTCACAAGAAAGCTTCTTGGATCAAGTACAACTGCATTTATGCTTACATAACTGCTTACTAAGACCATTATTTTCTTTTGCAAATCATTCATTTAAGTGAATAATATTTTGTTAAGTACTTTGAACATAAAGATCTGACAATCAGAACATAATAAGAAGGAATACAACAATTTAATGTTATTATCATTTCTTCATAATGGCAAGTATCTGAAAAGCTAAGGCAAGCCTAGATCTGGATCTCAAATTCCCCATCTCTTAGCGATTTGATTTAAAAACAACAAGAAAACACACTCCACAGTGACAAACAACATAGCTACCTCAGCCACTCTGTCTCCTGCTTGTACCCCAGCCAAGTCTGWTGGACCATCTTTCGGCAGCCGAGCAATCAGGATCCCCTGGTAACACAAAACATAGGTTTCAGACRTGACAGTTTCTCCCTTTGTTCTTGGATGTAAAAAGCAAATGGGAAGTAATTAATTTTCAAGACTTATTGTTCTGTTGCCGCTATAAAATTAAAAACWAAATGCCTTAGCACATTAGCAAGACAAAAAATAAAAGCCTCCATGCCTGAAACACAGAACAATGAACAAAAGTCAGTAATTGTTTACACTGTGCCATGGGGAACAGACTGGAGAACAAAGATTTATTTAAATGATAAATCAGTGAGAAGGTGTGTAAAATAYTTCTCTCAAATCAAGTTAGTTCCTGGGAATGAGTAAATGGGATGGGAGAGGCATGTGGATTGCCAAGGGAGTGACCCCAAACTGAGGTAGAAAATGAAAATTAGACAAGAGTGTTTCAGCCATCACRTTGTCTTTGCAAAATCGTTAGTTTACATTTGGGTTTCTCTCCAAAATCAATCCTTCGGGAACCTCGCCATCAAAATCTAATGCCAGCTCCTACTCTGGGAAATAAGCTACCTATGTTTACCCTTGTTAGCTTTATCACAAAAACAGTAATGTTACATGAAGGACAATCTCAGAAAKAAAACAACAAAACACAATAGCTCAAGGAACTACTCATCAGTCTAACAATCACTAGATAAATTTTGAATAATGAAATGCACCTCATCACTTTCTTTACATGAAGATGAGCCCTTTCCACCAGCAATGCTAATACCAAGRCTCCCCATTTGACTGCACACTGTAATGGTTACCTGGAAAAGAATTATAATGGGTAAGTGGCCTGATTAATCAAAAACATTGCCTATTAATTACATGAGCACTGAAAATCTACCTCCCACCTAAACACCAGCAGACATGCCCCTGGAGAGCCCAGCCCAGAGAAGGATGGTGCTACAGTTCAACACTGGCACATGCAAGACCTGCCAGCAGTGCTTCAAACTGAGCTGAACAGACTCAGCTGAGTGCCCCCTGCACACAGCCTTGACCTGACCTCTCAAACCAAAGCTGGATGTAAGTGAGATGCCTGGCTGCAAGGGAAGTGGGAAATTATTTAAGTGGGAAATTATTTTTCCATATAAGCCATGGGGAGCAAGGACAACCCTCATGTTACTCTCTGTAAGCTAAGCCTCATGACATCTGCCATGCAATGTCCCCTCTTCTTTGCCTCTTTCATAAACTGCYTCACACAAGAGGAGTTCCCCACAGACACAGGGACTGTCCCACAGCCATGCAGAGCCCCCAGCAGCCATCCCAGCCCAKCAGCAGCTCCAAACCTTCAGCGGGGGCTGTGGCACATCCAGCACCCGCCGTTCCTCCGCCATCCGGCCGCTCTCGCTGGGGAAGCTGCCTGCTGCTGAGACGGGAGGCTGCCCCTTAGTGCTGGATCCTGAATGAGTCTTCCCTTTCATTGCCAGCTTGTGCTTTTCTTGAAGCGTTGTTCTGGTACTTCTTTGATCTCTCACGCTATCATTASTATCAAAAAGGCTGCCCGAAAACTTGGAAATAGGTTCCTGAGGGTTAAAGATAAAAAAGGTAAACATAGCAACAGCAAGGAGAATCTGAAACACAGACTTCACCCATGGTAACCTGAATTTGTTCCTCACTTTCACACTGATGTATGATAGAATTTGCTTCACTGAAGCAAACATCCAAGGATTTCTTTTACCTTTATTTCTCTGGGCATGTTTTGCCCTCAACATTGGGGTTGAAACTGTGGGAACAGGGAGAGGACTGGGATTCATAAASCCTTTCACTGGATTCCCTGGTACACACAAGTACATGTAACACACATATGTCCATATGTTTCTAAGTCCTGCARTGCCCTGTGAAAATGACAGAGCATGAGAACAGGACTATTTTGGGCAGCCTCTGACAGCTCTGTAGCATTGAATCCATTGTTCCAGGGGAAAGAACCACACACATAAGGCAAAGAAAAGATATTTCCATACAGAAAATAAGACATTTCTCATAGTTCCTCAAAGATCACATTCCATTTTTGGAAGCATAAGTGTGAGAGGGAAGACAAGCCCCTACCTTGCATCTACATAWCTAAGACTTTCTTTCAGCCACTGAATTGACTTCAGTTGCAAATGGCAGTGAGTGGAGACCTGCAAACTTCAGTGATTTAGGAATCCTCCTGCAATAGTGCCGAATAATAAAGCCTACTTTGAAGCCTGGCTCTAGGGTGAGCCCACTCTGAGATGCAGTGAGGAGCTCACAATGTCACCCTGTGCTTAGCTAAACCACAAAGGGCTTGAAAAGAGAAATACACAATCAAAATACATGAACCCAAATATTAAGGCTTCAGACAAGTTTGACTGGAAAACATAGTGATGTTTTCCAGCTATCAGTTATTCCAGGCAAAGGGTTAAATTCAGACATGATTCCCAAATTCTGTTCATATTTTATGAATGCTTTATTTATATTTAGCTGATTTTTTCCCGAACTTGATGGGTTAAGGTTGAATCAAATCTTCATATTGCCCAAATCCTTCTGTCTTCTGTTGGCAGTAAAATGATGCAGCAAACACACATCAACACCTCTGAAAATAAGCCCCATAAGTATTTTTCTATGTTTTAATAGCAAGAAGTTTAACACTAGAAATAAAAAGCAGTGGCATTATCTCRAACAGCTGTGCAAAACCCCACTGGACACTTTATTTTTCAATCTATATTGGCATGTTCCCACAATCTTGCTTTGGTTGGGATGGAAAGMAGCATTGCCAATCCCAGGGAAAGCATACAAGGCATGATTGCTTCCTATTCTCATTTAAAAGGGAATTTGCTTAGCTTTAACTCACATAAAACATTCATTACCTTTTTTCTCTTGAGAGAGATTGCTCTTTACGGTGCCAGGCTGACTAACCCAGACACATCTGCAGTGCTGTGGTGCCAGGGAGGAAKGCTGTGAGCAAGAGCCAGGACTGGGGGCTGGAGGAGGGGGCACATCAGCAGCACTCACAGGGGCTGGGAAGGAAGCAGAAATCCTGCAAGAGGAGCARGAGCCACAGCTCCTCCTGCATCTCCCAGCAAATGTCAGGACGAATGGTGAGCAACGCCCTGAAAGGGAAAGGCTGCAAGAGTGCAATCACAAACTCCTTTTTGCAGGCTAGGACCGAGAGGACAGCCAGGCTGCTGCACAGGTGACAGACACGTGGCAGGCACAGGCTAAACWACAGCTGGCAGGGGCTCACAGACATCCTGGAAGGGCTCCACCCAAAACAAACAGGCAGTGGAGTAGCACTGCAACCTCACTTTTCCACCATCTAGGCCTGGGGAGACACCGAGTGCTGCCAACAACCTCCTTTCCCAAAGAGATGGAGGGAACTGGGGATRTAAGTAGGAGTAAAATGAAAAACGTGTCTCATCACTGCTCAGGTTACTCAATCTGCAAGTTGAACTGCACTCTTAAGGGTTGGGTGGATGAACTGCAAGCAAAGTAAAGGAACAGAACACTGCATATAAGAACATGTACCCTGTGACAGGCAAGGACTTGAGAGTACAAGCAATGCAGATCCCACAGACCCAAAGTGGTCCACTGCACAGCACTGTGAGCAGCTGTATCCTCTTCTCAGGTACACATTGTCTCTCCCCATTTCAAGAGTGCTTACATCATCAGGATCCTCGAGTTCCTCTGCTTCTTGCTCAGGACTGATCCTTCCTTCTCTCCATTTTCCATTAGCAGAGCTCAATTTGTACAGATTACCACCATGGAAACCTTCCTTTCCTTTCAATGAGGCCCAGCGAGAGCCCTGGGAGCTCCAGTTATGGCCACTGTACAGTTTGGGAGACTTGGGAAGCCACTTAACAGAGTCCTGAGGGGAAGAGGACATTAAAAAAAAAAAAAAGGCAATGAATAGATTTTAAGAAAGCGATAGATGTACATAAGTGCAGAAACTGCGTGGCAAGTTCTGCAACTTGTTTTAGATTCTTGCAAATACTGTGTTTCTCTTTTYTACCTTGAGAAGCACCTTCAGTCCCAGAAAGACATTTTGCCAATTAATGGGCATTACTGACGATACAAAGAACAAGAAAAGGCTGCTGAAAATACTGGAAGCCATTAGGGACTTAGAAGAGCATGGGACMGAGCCTACCTTCAGCATTGTAAATAATAATTTATGATTGACAACTGTCTTCAATAAAGTGTACTAGCAGACCTTTAGTGACCATCTTATCTCATGACCCAAGTTAAAAAAAAAAACTATTAAGTCACTCCCCTTCTCATTATTCATGAAATGAAACGTTTCATTTGTTGAACAGTATCAATAGAAAATACAACACTAAATTGATCTTTTAAGGATTGCTGATTTTCAAAGCRACGATAATTCATTTATCGCAAAATGTCCATTACTTATTTACATCCAAAATATTTCAYCTCTCTCACTCATACACAGAAGTTCATACACGACAAGTTGTGTCAAGGTTGCCTRTGTACCTAAATTTCACTGATCTTTAGAATCAATTTTTCAAAGTAASCTTTCTTTTAAGCTTTCATTTAATCTCACCTCTGATTTTCTTACTGATACAAACCCAATGGCAGAAAGCAGCCTRATACCATATAAGTAAGATGCATCAACGGAGAAAACAAACAAAAACAATTTTCAACTTATGGTTGGGCAATCAGAAGCACATGGTGACTTTCACATGTTTAAACAGGTATTTGATTCAGATTTAACAGTTCTTTAAGTTTCCATTTTCCTTTTTAAATGCAGAATGGTCATGTTCACACACACACAGATTTCTTGCTGCTACCAGCAACCCAGATGTCACCATCTCTAGTAGATCTAAGGTTGAGAAAGACAAGGAAATAGGATGAGGTCATTCATGCTGGACACATTCRTCTTCAGAGAAGGTCCTCTTGGGATTCTTCATTTGCTTTTGGTTTTAGGATGGCTGAAAAGACTAAGAAATGGAAAAGAACACTATCTCAGCATCTCAATGGAAAATACTGTAGACCTTTCTGCGAGTCTTGAAAGGATAACCCCAACACAGAATTTTGTAGTGCACAAGGAAGGCATGATTTGCCTCTGCAGGAAATTTGCTGCCACATTTTGAACTGCACTGACACTCAGTGATACCGTATTTGCTGATAAACAGCCCATATTTCTGCCTATTCTAAACCACATTGCTCAGGACACYGGAGCTGACACTGTAAATTCAGCTGATCAATGTGAAAGCAGCACAAATCCCAGAGGCTCCCCTTCCTCCTACAATTCAAAATGCAAGGCAGGATATCTCCTGATATTTTTTTGTCTTGAATAAGGAAGCCTAGGCTACCCTTAAACAGAAACTTTGCTTTCTGCGGATATTAACTAGGGGGACAGCAATTCTAATCAGACAGATAAACAAACAGTACACTGGGTGAAATTGTTTGCTATTGGCTTGGTCTGTTGTATTTCAGAATAGCCAATGTGACACCTCTCAATGTTCAGGATACTTCAAGAGACAGCTTAAATCCTTGTCAACTTTTAAGCTCATTAGGAAGTCATAAAGCAATTTCACTCTAAAAATAAACATGGGTACAGTGAAGCATTTCACTTCTYCCAAGGAAATGTCTCATCCTTTTTTGACCCTGATCCCTAATCCTAAACATTAGCTTCACAAACTCAGCCTCCAAAATTCTCTAAGACCAGTAAAAGGCTGTTCCCTCAAAGTAACAGAGATTTCAAATTAAGCTAATGCTGACAATCACTTCATCATTTCAGGCACACACTCAGCTGCAGTGGCAGCCTCCCATATGCCCAAGGAGCAAGGTGATGAACATCAGCGGATTTTACACCTCTGTGGCCCTTGCAGCTCAGCTGGGAACACAGAGCTACAGGGCACTCCTGCTCCATCTCCTTCCTCCTATGGTGGGATGCTTTTTCCTCTTGCTGGCATGCAGCTGTAAGGAAAATCCAGTAYCTGTTTAACACCGGTAACCCAACAAATTTTAGTCCTTAATATTCTTGATCTACAGTACTACAAAGTAAAATAGAAACAACGRGACAGTTCTGGTGAAGAATTTGCACCAGGTCTACAGAGCACAGTGGACAGCATTATCTTTATGAAAGCAGTTTCCTAATTTGATTATATCAATAGCAAAAGATGGAATGGAACAACCAGAAATGCCTTTTAGTCTACGTTTGCATGTACCTGCTGTAAAAAAAACACACCACATGAATTATACTTTCACGAAATAAAATGGAGAAACCAAGGCAATGAATGCTACTGCTGTGAGGGCAGGCTAATATTACTTTGCAAACAAATCTTAATCCTCAATTGTTTTTCACAACTTTACCCTTTTTGATTAAATAACAAGGAGAGGGGTGGAAATAAGAAAATAGTGAACTCAACCACTTACTCTGTTTTTTGGGTTTTTTTAACTGGATTTTGTTTTCCCTGCCAAAAATAAAACCAATTCCTTACTCTGATGTATTAATGCAAATTGCTTCAAAAGGGCAAAGGCTTCCATCACCCCTCAAGGTAGTTCAGGTAACAGTAGGTTTGTACTCCAGAAATTAATCKCTCTCAAAAACCTTCCAGTAATTTATTAGCTCATTCTTGTTATATTAAATACTATAGGTCCATGCTTTGAGACAGCAGGCTACCGGTAAATATCCTGATATAAAGAAAAATCAGTTCCCTTTACAGAATTTTACAGGTTGGTCTTCTTACTACACAAGCAGAGTTTGGAAGTTCTTTCTTGTGTTTCATATGAGAGGGAAGCTAAAACCCAAAATTATTAAAAATGTGATTGGTTTCAGTCATTAGTAGCAAACACAGAGTGAGATGCACATAGATTTAAATTTTACATATTAAAAAATAAGTGGAATGAAACAAGGSAAATTCTGTATTTAGAACTTTAAGCTTCATGGGTATGTGGGTGGTATAACASTGCTGTTTTGAAAATGCAGAAGTGCTCGGAGGGAGAAAATATTTATCAGCMTGGCAGTTATTAAGTTCCATGGAAACACATTTTTCTTCTCCCTTCACTGTTAATGATCCTAAGTGATTGGTAACAAATCACTTTGCTTCRTATTTCACCAGCAAGCCAAGTGGCGTTTTTACCTCCTTTCAACACATTTTTCATCTTTTCAGAGGCAGCCTCCTCATAACATAAATACTGCTCTGTATCATATCCCTGTACGTTAAGAGGACAAATTGTTCTCATGAACTACAAGGTGTCTATTCTGATAAGATCTCACTAACAAATCCCCTAGAGAATGAAATTCCTCCAGGCAACAAAGGTGTGCAAATGCTGTGTATCATCCTCAATCATTCCAGTAAATGAAAAAGAATCCAAAACAGCCTAACAATAAAAGCCAAGACATGAAAGCCATCAGTGTCTCTGACGTACCATACYGAAATCACACAGTGACAATGAAACACCCTCCTTACAGCCACAGCCAGGTTTCCTCGGCAAGAAGAATCATTACCTGGAACATTTCAGTGGTCATACACCTGCTACAACAGTTCAACTCAAAACCCCAAACATACATTCTCACCTATTTTTCTATTTAAAAGATGATTTGCTTAAATATCACAATTACRGGAAAGAAAATGTCTTTAAAGATACACTTCCTAGAACATAAACACTTTTCTCCTTTCAAGTACAACAAYACATAACATATTCTACTAATCAAAAACTCTTTAACACTCATTCTCTTTTTAAAGTACAAAAGACTGTTTCTAAGCACGTTTTGTGTAATTCACATGAAATGAAAGCTGAACAAAATGCTGCTGAAACAAAGGCATCCTTGAATATGCTTTCACTGCAGGAGAGGTAACAAAAGCTGCCTGAACTGATTATGGGAGCAATGTTATACACTTCACTAGCAGTAAATACWTGACTTACTTTCAAACTTAGATATTCAAATATTAACACTACATGTAAGATTTTTTAAATTTCCTGATAACACAATTTAAATAAAAAATGCTGTAGGTTATCCTAAGAACATCCTGTGCAAATGCTCTTCAGAGTTGAAGTTTTCTCCTTTTGAATGAAGTCATCAGTAMTATTCAAACAAACCTTTTTGTTAGTTAGCTTAGATTTTGTTTTGGTTTTTAAGTTGCTTAGTGGAAGTCCATGATGCCATTAACAAACTACAACAAAACTCACTTATGTTTGTATTCACGTAGGCATGAAGTGCCCTGTTTAATCTTTCAGAAACACAGGGCAATCATTTCTCCTATGAGCTACTTCAGAATGGTTTAAAGCAGCCCATTCATTGTGAGGTTGAGTAAAACTGGCAAGTTACTGAGGGTTATCATAAAATCAAGCATGTTTCCATCAGGAGCACATTTCCATAACTTGTCCAAGTTTGCTTCAGGAGCAAAAGAACATAGGACTTGGAAGAGTTTAGCTGATTTTGTATCTGATTAAAACTTTCTCTGCATTATACTGGGTATGCTTACAAACTGAAATCCACACTGCTGATGCTTTGGTGGATCTGTGGATCTTGAGGAAAGTTACTGCAGTCAGCACTTGTTTTCCGCAGTGAGCATTGCTACACTTTGCATTTGRTTGTTACCTCGCCTCCAGCAGCACATCAGAGATTTCAGCCAACACCCCCAGCAAGAGAYGAGCACAGCAGAGAAACAGTGTCAAGGGTTACTGTACAGCAGGTATTCTTGGTATTAATGTCAAGGGAGGTTTGCTAAAACCTTTCTCTGAAACATCACTGAGGAGCCAGAATTCTCTCCATGGACAATGGTGATGCTGTATTTTCAGGAGAGGTCTTCTCCTGGGAAAAGATAGCTACTTCTTAAGATCTTGGTGTTAATGGACAAACAACATCAGTATTTAGAGGTACAACGCCCTGAACAGGTTTCACATTCAAAATCAGGCTGCCACAAACCCTTGCTTCTGATGTTAGCACACAATTCAGCTACATTCATGGAGCTCCTTCCTCAAAACCCTCTGCTCTGGCAGGACCCATGACTGACCAGCCCGCTGTCACAAGAACTCTAAAATCAGGAATAAAACAAAGTGTCTTCAACACCCACCAGAATAGGACAGCGCCTGCAA